GTGAGAGCTGGACTATAAAGAAGGCTGATCGCCAAAGAATTGATGCTTTTGAATTATGGTGCTGGAGGAGACTCTTGAGAGTCCCATGGACTGCAAGAAGATCAAACCTATCCATTCTGAAGGAAATCAGCCCTGAGCGCTCACTGGAAGGACAGATCGTGAAGCTGAGGCTCCAATACTTTGGCCACCTCATGAGAAGAGAAGACTCCCTGGAAAAGACCCTGATGTTGGGAAAGATGGAGGGCACAAGGAGAAGGGGACGACAGAGGACGAGATGGTTGGACAGTGTGCTCAAAGCTACGAACATGAGTTTGACCAAACTGCGGGAGGCAGTGGAAGACAGGAGTGCAGGCGTGCTCTGGTGCATGGGGTCATGAAGAATCGGACATGACTAAACAACAACAACAAGGCACACCATCGTCACCATCTGGATTTGGGCCTGAAAGACCATGGGAAAGTGTATATGAGCAGAGGGTAAGTTGTGAGCAAGAACAATTTGTGACATTGAACAACCTCCAATTTCCCAGCTTTGTGGCGCTTGAACCAAACATGAATTAGCCTTCACTCTGAGCATAAACAGATAGGGAGGTTTTTTTTGCTCGTTGAATTCTAATGTTGGGTGGTTCCATTTGTCAGTAGCATGAATTGTTTGCAATCATGCTATATAAAATCCAATTGTTCTCAGGCATGGGCAAGAGAAGAAAAATATTATGAGGATACAGATGAATTGGCTCTAGAATAAATATATGGCATGGTGGAAAAGAGTTAAAAACATGAAAATGTGCAAATGTTTGGTGAAAATATGTTGACATTTTGGGAGCATGCAAACATGCCAAGAAAACATGGTGATGTTGATATAAGCAGTGCCGTGAAAATATGACAGATTTTGGTCTGGCTGCCAAAATACTTGGAACATAATTCTAAGTGAGAAAACTTCAATGTTTGATCCACATTTATTTCTTTCTCTCTCTTTTGTTTGATTCAGTTTGGGCAGCAACTTAGAACCTCTTTTCAGGATATCTTTTATATCTTTTGTCTAATTCAGTTCCTACCCTGCATCCATTCTACAACCTTTCCTTCCAGCACTTTTCAACTGGATGTCCTCATTTTTCAGAGCGAACCCTGCCATGATTCTTTGTCAAATGCAGTTATCCAATAGCAGAAAGTACTTGCTCCATGTCCGTGTGTGTGTGTGTGTGTGTGTGTGTGTGTGCGTGTGTGTGTGAAAATGGAGTTTGTCTGTAATTTATGCTGGCTTTTAAATGAGTATGTGTATGTTGCTGTTGCTGTTGCTATTTGTAAGGGTATCACCCAGAACAGCAATCTAAAAAATATTTTTAAAGAAATAAAACATATGCTAGTTCAATAGCTATAGCATGGTACATCTCATTGTGTGCCCCCTCAACTGGTCACATAAATGTGGTACAGAACCTTAGAGTGCCATTTGGCAAGTGTTTCTAACACCACATGAATTGTTTTCAGCAACATCTCTGGTGGCTCTCATCTCTGGAGACAACAGTCTTAAGTCCATCCATCACAGGTTAGCCTAATGAGAAAGCTTGGGCTTCAGTAAATCTCCATGGGTAATTCTCAAGAATGTCCATTATTCCAACCTACGCATATTAATTTGAAGGCCTGAACAGAGGCTACATACATAGCAATCCAATATATGCAGGCCGCAAAAGCCTATGTAGGCTCTCTGATCACAGATGCAAAGTCTGCTCATGTAGGGCTGTGAACTCATAGGGACTCTATTCAGATCTACAAATAGCAGCATAGGTAACTGCCTTGTCCTGTGACAGACCGCCAGCTCATCTAGTTTAGTACTGCCTACACTGACTGGCAGCAGCTTTCCAGGGTTTCAGCCGAGGGTCTCTCCTTGTTGTTGTTGTTTAGTCGTTTAGTCGTTTAGTTGTTTAGTCATGTCCGACTCTTCGTGACCCCATGGACCAGGTCACACCAGGCACTCCTGTCTTCCACTGCCTCCCGCAGTTTGGTCAAACTCATGCTGGTAGCTTCGACAACACTATCCAACCATCTCGTCCTCTGCCGTCTCCTTCTCCTTGTGCCCTCCATCTTTCCCAAAGATGGTCTCTCCTAGCCCAGTGCAAAACATTTGATGACATTTGTTGCATAAGTATATGATAACAGCTAACATAAATGGCCCTTTCTGAATCCGATGAAATAGCCTGATAGCCTGACCCTATTTAGGAGTGAAAGAAGACTAGCAAACTCTGCCTTATTCAAATTTTGGGTCCATTGAATAGCTTCCTCTAGTTCCAAATGCATGCCATCGCTTAATCCAGATTAGTTTCCCCATTCGGTTGAGTTTCTAATCCCACAAGGAGCATTGCACATTTTCTAAGACAGCGTTGCTGGTAAAGCTGGAACGTGCATCTGTGATCAGCAGGCCTGCCGCCTGCCGTAGAGGATTCCAAACGATTCTCCTTTTTTGAAAGAAAACTGCAAACAATTAACATTTTGGAAAGAGCTAACAATACACTCGGGCCAGAGAGAAATATGTTCAATTATTTTTATTCTTTCTCATATGCCTATGCAACATGTTCAGAGCATCCTCCATCATTTGCAAACTCTGATAAATAGGGGTTGAGGCAGATGTAAGCCAGAGGGGAATCACTTTGGACCTGTTTCTCCCTATTGCTCTCCACTGTTGAACACCAAGGACCCCCAGAATTAGAACGTAATGAAAAGAATTTGCTCTCATTATCCATGACATCTGGAACAATCTTAACTATACCAGAAGGTTAAATTATTGAAAATTGCTTCTCTTCTGAGTATAGTCATATGAATAAAAGGGACCTGAAACAGAATGTTGCAGTGTGGTTTGTGCCAGCTAGTCAGCCAGTCATGCCCTCTCCAAAGATATTCCATTCCACTCTGCTTCGTTTTCTGACCCCTTGCCCTGTCATTAGCATTCCATGCCTACTAAGGATAATTACCCTGCATTTCTCTGGCTTTTTGGTTTTTCCATTCCTTAAGTTTTCTTGCCCTTTCATTTGCTGTTCTGGAATTCCCAGAAGCCTGTTCCTACCTACCTCCTTATGCATGGATAGCACCATTTTGACTATGTAAGGATTTGCATTAACCCTTAGTCTTTGGAAACACGGGGAATGGCCTGCTACAGAAAAGAAGTAGGACTGGTTCCAGATCACGTTAGATGTCATTGAAACCAAAGGTACTTTAGTCAGTCGGGGTTGATTTGTCACAATGATTGCAAAGGAAATAAGCATGGCTAAGTCGGTCTGGATCTATCCCATAAATGTCCTATGGCAGGGGTCAGCAAACTTTTTCAGCAGGGGGCCAGTCCACTGCCCCTCAGACCTTGTGGGGGGCCGGACTATATTTTGAAAAAAAGAAAAGAAAGAAAGAACAAATTCCTATGCCCCACAAATAACCCAGAGATGCATTTTAAATAAAAGGACACTTTCTACTCATGTAAAAACACCAGGCAGGCCCCACAAGTAACCCAGAGATGCATTTTAAATAAAAGGAAACATTCTACTCATGTAAAAACACGCTGATTCCCGGACCTTCTGTGGGCCGGATTTAGAAGGCGACTGGGCCGGATTCAGCCACCGGGCCTTAGTTTGCCCTATGGTTAGTTGTCCTATGGTATGTCATCAACCATCTGGGAGAGAGAGGGCAGAGAACTATGTGGTGCCTCAGAGAGTTCAGGTGCATAAACTTACTTTGCACATGTGGTAGAGGCAAAATGCTTCCACCACTACCCCCAACCCAAAGTTTTGATTTTTAGATCAATGCAAAAAAAATGAAAAGCGGAGATACTTGAGTCACACTTTCCGAAACAAGGCAAGAATGAAACACAGAGGCATCCTTTGAAATTTGCACCTCTCTGAATTTTGCAGTGCAGTTCCTAAGCCTGCCATTGATCCAACCTGGGCCACCATTTTCCAGGATGGGAACAGATCTATCTAGTTTGGAATCCAAGTACGGTGGATTTCTTCTGCATCCCTACCCCTGGCAGATAACCACCCAGCCTCTGTTTAAAAACCTATAATGAGAAGAGTCCCCTTCAGCCTTCGGAGGCAATTGGTTGATTGAGTATTTATATATTATTTATCCGCTAAACTTTTGTTTAATCCGTTCAACAAAAAGTAACTCAAAACATTTTACAAAAAAAGCAGAGCATACATTAAAACCAACATACAACTGAAACAGAGTAAAAACTAAAAGCACATCCATATTTATAAAATGGCAGGATTAAAGGGGTCATCAATAAGGAAAGACCAAAGGCCTGGTGGAAAAATAAACAGTGCCTAAATATACCATATTGGCCTGAATATAAGCCTCACTCCCCCCCCCCCCAAATTCTGACCCTGAAAAGTTAAAGTGCGGCTAAAATTTGCAACTTTGCAAAAATTGGCTGAAACAGACATACGGTAAAACAGAATGGGTGTGAGTGCCTGCAGAATTTTAAGGGAGTGGCTTATATTCAGATATTGTCTTATTTTTTCCTTGAATTTTAAAGGTGTGGCTTATAGTCAGGTGCGACTTATATTTGGGCCAATACGGTAAATAATAGTGGTTCTTGGCATGCCTCCCTAGGGAGAGCACTCCATAAGTGGGGAACCACCACTAAGAAGGCCTGTTCATGTGTCAACACCCTCCACATTTCCCCCAGAGGTGGCACACAGAGAAGGGCCTCATAAGACTTTAGAGGTCAAAACCAGCACCTTGAATTGAGCCTGGAAACTTGTTGGAAGTCACACAGTCATGCCAGAATTGGTGTTACATGTTCTGACCCTCTTGCATTCACCATCAATCTGGCTGCAAAATTCTGTACCAGCTGCAATTTCTGAAATGTCTCCAAAGGCAGCCCTATATATGCTGATAAAATCTATCAAAGGGAGAAGAAAAATTTAGTGAAACTGTTATGGGTAGGTTCATAGAAGCATAGAACTGTAAAGTTGGAAGGGACCAAAGTGGGTCATCAAGTCCAACCCCCTCCAATACATGAATTTTTCACCCAAGGTGGGACTCGAACCCATAACCCTGAGATTAAAAATCTAACGCTGTAACAACTGAGCTATCACATCTGAAATATCCCAGTCATCTCTATACTGACTGAGCTATTTCACTCAGCTCCCTTTCCTGGTGGACCTGTGTGTCCTTTGCTTCATTTTACAAATCATATCACCTCTGGCCTCACTGCAGGTGGTGACAGCAGTCACAAAATTAAAAGACGCCTGCTTCTTGGGAGAAAAGCAATGACAAACCTAGACAGCATCTTAAAAAGCAGAGACGTCACCTTGCCAACAAAGGTCCGTATAGTAAAAGCTATGGTTTTCCCAATAGTGATGTATGGAAGTGAGAGGGGGACCATAAAGAAGGCTGATCACCAAAGAATTGATGCTTTTGAATTATGGTTCTGGAGGAGACTCTTGAGAGTCCCATGGACTGCAAGAAGATCAAACCTATCCATTCTGAAGGAAAGCAGCCCTGAGTGCTCACTGGAAGGACAGATCCTGAAGCTGAGGCTCCAATACTTTGGCCACCTCATGAGAAGAGAAGACTCCTTGGAAAAGACCCTGATGTTGGGAGAAGGGGACAACAGAGGACAAGATGGTTGGACCAAGTTTGAGTTTGACCAAGCTGCGGGAGGCAGTGGAAGACAGGAGTGCCTGGCGTGCTCTGGTCCATGGGGTCACGAAAAGTCGGACACGACTAAACGGCTAAACAACAACAACACCGCTGGCATGCATTCTCCAGCCTTCATAGGTGTCCACAATTCAATCAAAGCCCAGGAGAAGACATCATAAGGTGATACCTCTCATTTGGCTTTTTCAAATCAGCAAGGGCAAGCAGCCAGGGAGGCTGCAAAGCCCTAGAGAGATGTTTATTGGGGGGAAACATACACACAAACACATGCACACCACACCTTGGCCACCTCACAACAATAAGGTAGCCTCAGAATCCCACACCCACTGCCATTTAAAAGATTTTTTTTTCAATTATATTTCATTAAGTTTCAACATTTTTAGCATATACAATCCAACTGCTCTGAGAATGAGGCAGGAAAATGAAAGGCTCTTTTTCAGGAGAAGAAAACTTTTGAGAAACTGAAGGACAGGCTTTTCTATAGTGCTCCCCTTCATCTCCAAAAAAATGAATGTGCTGCTTTGATCCTTCTTGGTCGGAGGGAGGGAGGACCCTTTCAGAGATCATGCTACAATTGTGGGGCTATGAAAACCTCAGCAGGCGTCTGGTATGATACCAGCCATTGTTCAGTCTGTATCACACTTGCGCCAGCCTGCGAAGGAAACCTCTGCAAACATGGGAAACCTTATCAGCACCCGCTCTGGCTTCAAAAGCAAACGAAGAAGGAGTTATAACTCTTTTGTTTCCGCAGCTCAGGTCCCTCAAGGTGGGAATTGGAAGCGTGAGACAGGTCTTTTTGTCCCCACTTTGCCCTGAAAGGAAGATGAAACGAGAAGTGTGATGGATCTGCAAAGTGAAATGAAACAACTCGCTTTTGAAAGCATTATCAAGGCTTCTTCAAACAGCAACTTAAAGCTTTTTTCCGAATGTTAACTTCTGTGATTATGGTAATAATAATAATAATAATAATAATAATAATAATAATAATCTTCTTTTTAAAAGAAACTCTTCTTTCCTCAGGTTTGTTTGTCAAAATTCTCCTGTTTGTCTGCAGCTCCTCTAGAGTTATTGAACTTGATTGGTGATATTATCGGTGCATGTCTGGTGAAGGCTAGAATAAAGTTTATTGAGCAGAAAATTACATGGAGAGCTGTTTCCACCTAATGGTAATAGGTAGAACTTCAACCTTCATAAACTTCAATAATTATTCAGTAGCGCAAACGTCAGTTGCAGAGTCCTGAAATCTATGGTGATGTACAAATTTACTAAATAATAATAATAATAATAATAATAATAATAATAATAATTTGTGTCCTGTGACTTCTGGATCCCAGTATGCTTTCTGGACCAATATGCAGTCTAAATAGGAGACAGTAATAATATTTTTATATATCTTTTTAAAAGACCACTAAGAACTTGATTGCCAGCTTTCCTAGACTTTCTGAGACAATATTATTTTAAGGTTTAAGGGTTTATGTTTCTATATAAAAAGAAGAGTGATCCCACTTTCTGTGGAGACTTTCTTTTAATGCACACTATGATTGCAAGGTAAGCAGGTGTGCTTTTTTCATTCTAAAGCTTTAGGCAACCCTATATTAGCCTGAATTCAGTGGAACTTATTCCCAGGTAAGTGTGTATAGAACTGCAGCCAAAAGCATTTAAAACGCCACATGTTGTGCAGAGGCCTTTTGAAACAGCCACATATCTAAACACTCAACTCGACCATTAGAAATGCACGATCAGAAACAACTGATATACTGGGGGGAAATGACACTAAAAACCAGCAGAAAACGAAAACCTTTCTATAGGAACTCCAAGGGCATCAAATGCCCTCTAAATGAGAGCAGGTGTGGTATACAATACTGCTACAAACGTATACTGCAGATGGAGCCTCAGTAGGACAAGCGTTGGATACAATCCTCAAAAGTTTGTTCTTAGCATGAACAAATAACAGCATCACAGGCAACGATCTATTTTAATGCACACGTCTATAATTAGTATCTCACATTTCAAAAATAATAGTAGGTGTTAATTATCAGTAGTAAGGAAAAATGCAAAATTGAACAAGGCCTATTTTCTGAGGTAGATGACTTGGGGGCTTTAACTCTTAAAAAAACAAACTCCTGGAGCCCCCACCTGTGTTGAAGGTAAGGAGGCCTAGGACAGTGCCTGGACCATCTAGGAACCACACCTATGCAACCTCTACTAAAATCCAGCGCCTGGATAGGGGACCATCTAGGAACCATACATATGGAACCTCTACTCAAAATCAGATCAGATGCCTTCAGAAACATCCAATGAAACTAAATGCCCGAAGATTTGGGGCAGATACAAAAAAGTACTTCTTCCCACAACACTTAGTTAAACTATGGAACCCATAGGAAGCAATGGTGGCCGCCATCTTGGATGCTTTAAAAGAGGTTTAGACAAATTCATGGAGGACACCGGCTACTAGCCATGATGACTGCGTTCTACCTCCACTGTCAGAGGCAGTATGTCTCTGCATACCAGTTGCTACAAATTGTAGGTGGGCAGAGGTGTCCTGCTTGCAGGTTTCCCATAGGCATCCAGTTGACCACTGAGAGTACAGAATGCTGGGTGAGATGGGCCAATAGCCTGATTTGGCAGGCTCTTCTTATGGGCATTTAAAATGAATGTGGTGATGACCCATGGCTGGGGAAAAATGCATTTGTTTACTGTCTCACTAAAGCAATATAATGCTTACCCATTTCACTCAAATTCCATACAGTAAATCGGGGGGGGGGGATTGGGAAGGAGCATTTGGGAAGGAACATAGTTCCTTGAATGCCAGCGGTCCCAAATTCAATTTATAGTACTCCCAGTATTAAGAGGATCAGTTACGTGTGATGGGAAAAACCTCAGTCTGAGACAACCTAGAGAATCTCTGCCAGTCAAACTAGACAGTTCTGGGTCTGGTACTCTGACCTGCTTATGTCTCTGTTCCTTTCACCCCTTTCCATGGGCGCTGTCCCCCCCCCCCAATCAAGGGGACTCAAATTTAAGAAAATGGGGGGAGATGGCACAGCAGAGTTGTTGAGCTTTTTTTGCGGAAGATTGCCCAGAGTTTTTTTGGGGGGTCACTAACCCATCTGTCCACCTCCCATCTGTCTCATCACTGGCAAAAGCTGCCAATCAAGCTACCACCCACTGACGCAACAACCAATAACACGCACAATAGCCACTGACAGTGGCGGCAGCAACCAATCAAAGATCTACCCTATACACTACCCATGTATAAGACGACCCCCACTTTTTAGCATGGTTCTTAAAGAAAAAAACATAGTCTTATGCACAGTTAACTTGCACCAACTGGCACCAGTTGGATCGCCAGCATCCAAAGATCCTCCACTGACCTCAAGTCAGAGTGGCCATCTCCTATAACCCAGGTGTTGCTCTGTCAACTAAGTCACACACACACACACACACACAGAGAGAGAGAGAGAGAGAGAGAGAGAGAGAGAGAGTCTTCTTTTTTCAAAAGTGAGACTAATCTGACTTTAATGGAAACAGCCAAGTGTGGCTCAGGTGGGGAGGATGGAGAGTTGAAGGGGTAGGTCATTTTCATAGACAGATCTAGCCTTTACTTAAAGGGAAGTACTTTTGCCAGGGCTTTCCAGTCACATTGGTTTGTGGGAGGAATATTGACAGAAATAGCTAGTTTCTCAGGCTGGCCCATTGCTCCTTTTCCAAATTCTCTCCAGAGGAGGATTCTGTGAATGGTGGACCATTTGTAGCCCCTCTCATCCTCTCCAGTCGCTTTCTGTTACTCAACCAAAAAATGGACCTCTTTATTTTCATTCTTTTTTCTTATTTTCCCCCCCTGTTGCATTTGTTTGTGCCAAGTATTAGAGTTAAAAGTACTGAGCGTGGCGTTGTTCCCCTTTCCCCTCCCTTAGCTGCATGAAGTTCATTTCATTCCATTTAAATATATATATCTCCTGAACCTCTCCCTTTGCCTCCAAATCAACTTCAACGATGCAACTTTACAGCACAAAACCCCACGAATTGACTTGTTTGTCTACAATCTGACAGGTTTCTTTGCCAGGGGCACCTCTCTCATGTCAGCAATTTTCAGACCAATTGGCCACAAAACACGCTGGGCAGTTTAATGATTTCTATTCCACCCACCCCAAAACAATAAAGACTACCCTTCCAGGAAAATCACTATGGCTATCTTTCTGAAGTCTGGCAGTCTTCATGCCCTCAGAAGGGGCAACTTTGCCTGCAAATTGCATCCAATTATCCTCAAAAATACAGCAAAAGTTAGAGATGTTCATTTTTTTTCATAGAATTGTAGAGTTGGAAGAGACCCCAGGGGCCATCTAAGTCCAGCACTGTAATGGCTACACCACTTTGCCTCATGTTTTTACACATTAAAACATACCTGAGCAGTATTCAAGAAGATGTTGGGTG